AATGAGCCCTCCTACAGGTTGAACATGCAGGGACTCTCCAGGCTGCACAGAGATCAGCCGATGAAGCCGCTGGACACCGCCCTCTTCTGGATAGAGTTTGTCGTGAGACACAAAGGTGCAGCTCACCTGAGAACAGAGTCCTACAGACTGCCCTGGTATTCCTACCACTCTGTAGATGTGATTTTGTTCCTGGTTGGAGCTGTGCTGCTCGTGCTGTTCACTTTTGTGTTTTTCATCAGGTGTTTGTGCACTAAAATGTGTAGATCTAAAATAAAATGTGATTAAGCATTCAATGGATATACATTGTGCACACTGAATAAAATATTTTTATCAACATGAAGAGTAGACTGAAGAAATTAATGATTAACACTCAGTAAGTGTAATAACTCAGGTACATTTAGGTTGTCCTTTCAAAGTATAGCAATCAGATAAAAGACTGAATTGGATCAAAGCATAAGTCTATCAATATTGATACTTTATAAATGATATTTAATTGAATTTATATTTTGTAAATGTCCCCTCTGTGTGCAAATAAAGGTATTATGATTCTGATGTGGGGCCTGTTGTCTTTATTCATCACCAAGTAACAGAATTATAGTGACCAGACTTCTTCTTATTCTGTGTTTGGCTGGTCTAAGAGGTCAGGAGTTGGGTAAGACATCTATCAAATCCTTAAGGATGATGAATGGCACTTATTAAATCACAGACTTTGGATTTGTTTAGCCTTATAAACTGATATGCCATCTGAAAGATAAGGTCCTGGATATGTGTCTATAGACACAATTTAATCAATCATTAACTTCCTTATCATGGTGTTTGCTCGCACATGGTTGGCCGTTTGCCTTTTATTCATCCCTTCCCATCAGAACTGCTCACTTCCTGGGTGCACGCGTCTGGACTCGCTCAGGTTGGTTCAGTCTGGTGCCAGATTGAGAAGTTCCCAGCCTGTTTTTTTTTCCTGTGTCGAATAACATTACAGACAGCGGTAAGAACAAGCACCATGTTTTAAAATGTTTTACATTTATATTTGCCTTTTTACTGTATTTAAACAATAGCATAAGCAGTCGATGGGAAATTGTGGTGCTCAATTTCCCTCTGAGGATTGTTATCTTGCTTGTGTGTTTTATGCAGAACGATTTGCTTCCCATTATTGTTCACTGTCAGTTTCTCAATGACCCTCTGTTATAGTACTTGCAGATATAAGCTAACCTAAACCGTGTGTGTGTTTGTTCACGTTTGTTTCTAATGGAGTCAAATAAGATGCATTGCTACTGAATTGTACTTCAGGTATATCGGTCATATAATCCATAAAAAGTCAATTTAAAGGTACACTTAAAGGGATTTGTATTTTAACGGACATTTAAAAAAAACATTGAGGTTCCAGTGTAAAATATTGGAGGTATGTAGAAAATCAGAAACAAGTGTAGGCTATGAAAAAAATATGTTTCCTGCAGCATGGACATTTTGTTTAGTTAAAGTTCAGTATTACAGCTCTGCTGTTCTTATCCTTTATTCATTGGTTGTCTCTTGTTTTCATTCCAGATGAGGTTGATCCATTTCTGCAGTGCTTGGCTGCTGCTTGTCTTTATTCCCAGAGGCTGTCATGGAGGAAACATCTTGGTCTTACCCGCTGATGGTAGCCACTGGATCAACATGGATATTCTACTTGAGGCTTTGCACTCCAGAGGTCACAATATAACTGTTGTGCGTTCTAGCAAAAGCTGGTACATCAAGGATGAATCCTCTTATTACAATACTTATACCGTGCAAGTGGAGAGGAGTCTTGATCAGGAGTTCATGACAAAAATAATATTTGACTTAATCCAATTTGAAAGGGGGTCTATTCCCTTGACAAGTTTTCTCAACACGGCCGTAGGAATGATAGGCATGTTTGTGGATGCTCATTCCACCGTGGGTGAATTAGTATCAGCAATGCTAGACGACAAAGAGTTAATGAGAATCCTAGAGGACAGCAAGTTTGACCTGGTACTCACCGATCCCTGCTGGGGCCATGGGGTCATTATGGCAAAATATCTAAACCTTCCTTTGGTTTATAATGTTCGTTGGCTAATAGGTGGAGAGGCTCATCTTGCTATTGCTCCTTCACCTTTATCATATGTCCCTATAACAGGATCTGGATACACTGATAAGATGACCTTTCTTCAGAGAGTTAAAAATGTGTTATTGCAACTAACCAACCTCATACAAAATCAAGTGGTGGTGAAGCTAGTATACCAGAAACTGTGTGACAAATATCTTGGGTCCGATATTGACTTCAACCAGTTAATGCTTGATGCAGACATTTGGCTGATGAGAGTGGACTTTGTGTTTGAGTTCCCTCGTCCCACCATGCCTAATGTTGTCTATATTGGAGGTTTCCAGTGCAAACCAGCAAAACCTCTCCCTGAGCACCTGGAGGAGTTTGTGCAGAGTTCTGGAGAGCATGGGGTCATCATCATTGTCAGACGATCCTGAGACCAAAGAGTCACACTCGACGATGGAAACACAGAGTTGCTGGTTTTGGATAGGTTTTCCGCCACAGTCGCCGAAGTAGCCGACTAGAGACACGTCGGACCTCTCAGGGACGTACAAGTTGGACATCCTCCCGAAGTAAGTCCTGAAGGACCTACCGTAGGAACGTTCAAAAACAGAAACAGGTGCCAAACTTACCCATCTTCAAATCGGCAGCGGAGAGAGGAATCTGCGTCGTCCAACAGGTTTTACCAGTTTTTTGTTCCCCGTCCTGTTGTTGACCCATGAGCCACTATTTATCGGAGAACCCTGAGGTAACCAAGGAGGCACTCGGTGTTTGTCAAAATAGAACCCTACAGGATTTCCAGTAAGACTCCGTAGGTCAGATGATCGTCTCCAACAACGGGTCTCCACAGACCAGAGAGTGTGAAATATAGAGGTCAACTGAAAGACCACCATTAAATCGTTTTCAACGGTCGTTAGGGTAAACGTACTGAGTCTCCCTTCAAGGAATGTTTCCGNACATGGATATTCTACTAGAGGCTTTGCACTCCAGAGGACACAATATAACTTAATAAGAGGATTCATCCTTGATGTACCAGCTTTTGCTAGGATGCACAACAGTTATATTGTGTCCTCTGGAGTGCAAAGCCTCTAGTAGAATATCCATGTTGATCCAGTGGCTGCCCTCACCAGGAAAAACCAAGATGTTTCCTCCATGACAGCCTCTGGGAATAAAGACAAGCAGCAGCCAAGCACTGCAGAAATGGATCAACCTCATCTGGAATGAAAACAATAGACGAACAATGTATAAAGGATAATAACAGCAGAGCTGTACAACTGAACTTGAATCAAACAAAATGTCTATGCTGCAGGAAAAAATAGGATTATTTGAATAAGCTACTATTATTTCTGACTTCCTTTAATACTATACACCTCAAAAGTTTTCCATTGGAACCTCAATGTTTTCTTTTTTTAAAAACAAATCAGCCTACTGTTGAAAATCCAACACACACACACACACACACACACACACACACACACACACACACACACACACACACACACACACACACACACACACACACACACACACACACACACACACACACACACACACACACACACACACACACACACACACGTTGTGCTCTTCCACAGGAAAAAAGCCAGGCTGGGAACTGCTCAATCCAGAACCACTAAACCAAACTGAGTGAGTCCAGATGTGTGCACCCTGGAAGAGTGAGAAGTTCTGAGGTGAAGGGAAAAATAAAAGATAATAGGCCAACCATGTGGTTCAAAAACAATGATAAGGAAGTTAATGATTGATAAAATCATGTCTATCAATATACAGTACCTTATCTTGGTATTGACTGCTATATTTTGAGAGCACCCCCTACATTGACTTGAGTTGCCAACTTTACAGTTGTTAATCATTATTATCTTCAGTATACTCTATGGAGGCTGTGTGTACTTTTCATTGAGTGAGAACAAAACGACCATTACTGACACATTATCAAAAATCACATGACCTAGCCTACTTCCTGGAAAGGAAGGTCTGATAGTCGAACCTCTTCGAGCTTTTCAGTCTCTCAAGGATCCTGGATGGGGCATGTAATAAGAAGCCAGTTCAAAATACCCTGGATATCTTTGAGTTATCTGGCTCAACCATAGGGCTCAACGTATGGTCTCTCAACTTACCCTAAACGGGATCTCGTTAAGCGGTCCTACTTCGCTGGTTATCGAGTCGGTCAACCCAGGGTTCCTCTGTCCGGCTGAGAGCGCGTTCACGTGAAAGGGGCGGGGTTAGCAACATTTGACCAATCACAAACCTGGAGAAGCGTCCTGACAGCGGAGCGTTATATTTCATGAACGAGTAAACTATAATTTTACAGAAATGTGAAGAAGTTCAACTTTAAACATCCATGACCTAACACATAGTTGCATCTGCAAAGTGCAGGAAGAACGGCTGTTTAAACTCCTGACTGTTTCAATGCGTAAATCAACAGGTTCATAATATCACTGCCACATCCAATACACAAGTGGATCTGACTTAAGTTACATTTGAGTTTTTCGTCAACTAAATCAAAATGTGTTGTTTAAAACACTTATGCATGTTTGCGGCACTGTAAGTTAACTATGAGTTACTTTGCTCCGGTTACTTATGTTGTGGCATATTTAAGTCAGTTTGCTCACCGCAAATGTAATAAGATAGTTCTGAAGATGGGCAGTGATATGCTATTAATTTACATGTTCACACAATCGGCGATTTTTTTACCTGCCGTCTTTCCTGCATAGCCTCGGTAGTTTAAACAGTTGTTCCTTTATCCTGTAATTACTTCATGGCCTCAAACTCCGTGCACCAAGCTCTGGTCACAGAGTTTATCTCTTATCTAGAACATAACCTGCTCCGGACACTAAATCATGCTTCTTAGTGTAGGCCTCTGGTTCGCATGTGTGTTTTTTTTAGAGAAGATCCAATGTACTGCCTCCCTTTTTCTTCCCTCCCTTTACATTTGGATTCCCACCTCTCCTCCTCCTCAGCTGCAGCTCATCACCTGGATTGCCATCTTGTCTGCATTTAAAGCATAGACTGCATAAACCGTTGCTGGAACTGCTACCTCTGCGACCTGGATTTTGAAAAGAAGATGGTTGAATGGATCTATGGATGTGTTTAAAGCATTATCTAATTTATGGTATGTATCGAAATGTTTTTTGGTTTGAATGCATATTTTTGCAGTCCTGCATGCAATAATTTAAAGGGAGCTTGAAACCAAAGTTTACAGGAAAAACCCCGTGAGTCATCCAACTTCTACGTTTTTGTCAGGGAACCAAATATTATGGCATTTTAACAAATACACATAAAAACATGCTTTTTCATACAGACCCACAAAATTCTATACATACACACACATGTATCGAAATGTTTTTTGGTTTGAATGCATATTTTTGCAGTCCTGCATGCAATAGTTTAAAGGGAGCTTGTCGTATTGATGCGACAAGATTGTTTTATTACACAACCTCTAAATAAAGTACACTCACATAATTCATAGGTTAGTTCAGGGACAAATTATCATGGAATTATCTGTATTTCCTCGAAGCAGGAGTCTCATCGTTCAAGGCTTTGTTTAGGACCTAATTATACTGCATATAAACTGTAGCCTTGCAGGCCTTTTTGACCGTATATATATGTATCTGAATTTATTGTATGTTATGACTTAGTTTGTCAATTACATTTCAATGAATCAAAAAGAAATGCAGAAGTAATATCAAAGTGTTTTATGAGCACATAATAACAAGATACAACTGAAAACTGAATATGTAGGGGATGGTTTAACAAAAGCAGATTATTGCCCCCTGCCCCCATCCCAAATCATATGGGTCCCCCAATACGCTGTCGCCATGGAAGCACACACACACACACACACACACACACAGGCATGTATCATCACATCACAGGCTCAGTGGCAGAGCTGCACTTGTGATTCCCGCATGCTGCTGTGGAGAGGCAGTGAAGTGAGGTGGCTGCTGCACGGAGGCGTCGACTATCCCTTTTTATGATTGGTGACCACAGAATGCCAGGAGAAGGGGAAGGGGAGGTGTGTGTGTGGGGGGGCGGATTCTCTGTAGGAGGAGGAGGAGAGGAGCAGGAGAGGAGGATGCATTGCCCGTTCATTATTGGAAGCAGCAGGGAGTGAAGCAGCATCTGTTTGAGGCGAGAAAAAGAACCTGCATGGAATGGAGGAGCGCTAGAGCTGCACCGTCGCTGTCGTCAAGACTCCCACCGCCTCCACCACTGCTGCCACTCTGGACTGGGATTTAATGGGAGACACTCAGAGTGGGTATGTATACATCATTTGAATGCTTACTCTGTGAAATGTATTAATCACCCTAGAGAGGGTGAAGTTAGCAAGGTGATGACAGATTGCATTCTTGGCTTGTAAAGGATGCTATAAAATGTGTAATGGATACTGTTTAGTATGGACGTCATTAGGGTTTTAAGCTTTGCACAGCTTGTTCACTGAAATCAGGAACTGTGGTTGAACGTATAGCTTCATTAGAGGGGAGGAGGGTTGGCTGCCTGGGGATTTGAACCCTTAACCCAGGTTTGATTGAAGCTATTGCTCAGATGTGTGCCTGTACACAAAAGCAGCTCTTTCATAACCACTGTTATTGATATTCTTTCCAGCTCTGTGATGCCCGAGGGACCAGTCGTGTGGATCCAGTGCCACCTCTGATACGATGTTGAGAGCAGGGGGGGCAGCCACCTCTCTGGCACTGCTGCTGCTGCTGCCGCTGCTCTGCTGCTGCTGCCACCTGTGCCACTCGTTGCGTAAGTTTCTCAAGGACTGGGTATGCCTCATCCAATTACAGATGGTATAGTTGCAGCTAAGTTGGTCTCTAAGGGATATTAAGAATCAAAGAAAGAAGATGTCAGTCAGATCGTCAGATGGTCAGTAAAGAGTAGAGAACTTGCAGAGACAAATCAAAAGTACTGATTTCAGTTTACAACAGTATAACAGTTTTACATTTGTAGGGGGGTTAACGATTTCAATTTGTCATCTGGTTTCCTAGTCCTGGCTGTCTTTGTAGGGATTTACCATTTACAGGATCATCTTTGCTAAGTAACACATAATCAATGTGGACCTGGAAAATAGTGGATTCATGCTGTGGCATTCATGCCATGTTGGATAGATGGGAAAAACTGTCATGGTTACAACTCGGCAAAAGGACAAGGTTATAGTTCCCATTTGGTCAAAGGACAACTCAGGATAGGAAGAGAGTTGAACAATAGAGTTCTCTGACATAATAACACCTTGTGAAATAACGTTGGTTTTATTTTGTTACAAGTCTATTTTTTCTGACACAAAGCATCCATGTTGCCTTAGCTTCCAGATATTTCCACATTATGAAATCAGGGCTTCCCCCTCTTAGTCATCACTTGACTCATTTTCCTTTTGTTCTCAATCCGTAAGACCTCTTTGATTATTTAGTCATTTTTTAGTTTTCATGCTGAATTACTAATTTCCAAGAAACTTCAGAGCACATCTCTTGGACCCGAGATTAAAAGTGATGCTTTTGCATGTCACTTTTTGGAGGAACTCGGTTTTACAGATCTGACAATTAAATCAACTAAATGATTAGTCGAAAAAAGGTTTGAGTGTTCATTTCCCAATACTTTTTTAGTCCAGGAAAGCCGTATAATATGCGCAATACAATAAGGCTGGCAGTAAATGGTCAAAGCGGGCACAACAACAGGAGCAAACAACATAGTAAAGTTTTTCACCTTAAGTTAAATGACGGCTATCTTTCCTTCTAAGTAAACTAAGATGAATACAGTTCAGTTTGGAGGTCACGTGACCGGGTCAGGTGATACACTCGGTTGTAAACTTGGAAGATGCTGCTTGTGGGCAGCTGAGGAACATGGGTGAGGAATAAGGGGGGAGGTTATTACTGTTTGCACAACACAGAGATTAACGGCATGTTGCAGGGGAGGAGGCAAGAGGGGGACCGCTGTTGCCATGACATCGTGTGCATATTTGTCTGCGTGTGTATCAACTGTACAGTATAGGTATGCATATGTTGGTATGTGTATACACCTTATGATTCTGTGGGTCTCTCTTTCTGTTATTGATGCTTTGCATATTTGGCTGAATTCCACAACATGTCTCACTGTAATCCTCACCATCTGTACAAGAGCACACATAACATACATTATGTATTACATGTTATCGATGTTTTTGTTATAAAACCAACTGCACCTTACAGACAGTATTGACCCAGGAATAAGATGTTCATATTAAATATTAATCTTGCTCAGCATGAGGTGCAAATGAGCATTCCCTTTTAACTTATAGCACACACCTTATATCTATGCATTTCATCAATCACACACTTTAACAGAAAATGTAGAATCCAGCAGCTTGCTTTTCAGTCGAGCAAAATGCTGGTGTGGGAGTAGGTGCTGTAGAAATGATGAATTTGCTTATCACACAGTCATTGATTGAGGGTGTTGCAGCCTTGTTTTTATTGATCCGCACACATGTCTGAGAGGGTGATACCATACATTTATGGTCAGTCTTGGTCTAGATTTCCAGCCGCATTCTCCATCCATAAATTGAGTTTATAACCGCATTGGTGAAAGATTTAAAGAGCAGGGTCAAAGATAGAGTGTAATTCAAAATGTAATCAATATGTGCTCTTCTTCAGGATAACAATGAACCAGTTTAACTGATTCTGTCTGCACTGCTATATACAATAGATTCATCTTGTAACTGCACATAACGCAATATCTACGTGTTTTGTCACCCAGTCTGAGGGTCATTTTTTGAATGATACAAAATATATAGTTTATACTTTGAGCAGGTTTCCTAAGTAGAAGTACTGTTGACCAACAGGCCACATGTACTGGTTGCATAGAAGTCAGATTGTAGAAGTCTATGAGAAGATGATCCTACTCCTCACTCCAAAACACAGTTTCACAACTTGTTCATCACAACATTATTGTCCCATTTAGATTAAAATAGATGATTAAGGGCCTGTCTACCTTGTGATTATTATGAGTATTTTCCGGCCTTGGTGTTTTGAATTTTTCATCTTGTAACTTTTACCATTTCACAGTGTGTTTTCAATTCATTTGGTCTGTTACAAATGTTTTGTTTCGTGTTTTGGTTGTACCGCCACCCTCTTTTCCTATTAAGATGACTATGTCTACTTCTCATATACAGTCTATAATGTGGGCTCCAGTTGACAAGCAACCCTGACTGCTTTATTGAATATATCCTTTGCCGTTGATACTGCTTTCTTTAAGGCATTTCAGGACACCTGTTATCTCTGTTTCTGATGGAGAGCAGGGGTCACATCTAATCATCTGAGCATTGATTTTTAGGCTTTCATACATTGTGAGGATTGTATGTATTGCTCAAACCTTTAGTTTTTCTGCGACTTGAAACCAAAGCTATACCACGAAGGTCATATCCATAATCTATAGATAACACTGTAGCAAAGTTAGAGAAATGGTTGCATTGTTACTTGAGAGAATAAAGGAAACATAGCTGTATATGGATTCATTATCAAACATTGGACGACTGAATAAATCAAAGATGCTGTTGCATTCGTTGAAATACATTTAAGTTGGTATGAACTGTATTATAAAATATTATTTTTACATAGCATTACATTTTTCCACACCATTTAGGGGTTCCAAAACTCTCCGCTTTCGCAAAAGCAGAGGATAAGCTGTTCAAATACCTCTTTGTAAACTACCAGAAATGGGTCCGGCCAGTGGAATACCTGAACCAGACGATCAGCGTGAAGTTTGGCCTGGCCATCTCCCAGCTAGTTGATGTGGTAAGAAAGAAAAGCACTGATTATTGATATAATTCAGTCGTGAGTCTCTGATGTGTTAACTACAGCCTATGAATGTAAAACATACATTTCTTTCAACTTGGCTACTTTTTAATTGAAACTGTTTACACTGTTTTAGGATGAGAAAAATCAACGAATGACAACCAATGTGTGGATGAAACAGGCAAGTGTACTTCACATCTAACCTAAACATTACAATTAACTATCATTTGTAATCATGCAGGTTTAAGGTATTGCTGATAGTGTTTATTTAATGGTTGAGGAAATACTCTTTAACAACCTCTGACATAACATGGCATTTAGAGGCAACAAGTCACCCTTTTTTAATCTGGTCTGGTGGCATTTCACTGACAGTTCTCATATGAGTCCTTTGGGCCCTGTGCCCACGCACCTGGCTCCACCAGCCGCCTCTTCCCAACTCCTGTCAGCCTTATTCATGGCTTTGAGTGTCCTGTCTGTTGAGCTTCCTTTGAGTTATCACCACAGACTAGACTCTGTCATTGGGGTCAGTTGCTCCCTTTCAAAGTGATGGATTACAGTAGGCTACCTCTTGCCAAAAGGCTGATGGAAGGGCAATCCCCCCTGTGGTGATGTCTATCTATCAAGCATGTAATTTGCAAAGTATTTCAGTGTCAGATTTAGTGATTTTATTTATCGCAATCTTTTGGCGGTCACTTTTTTGATTTAGAAAAAGGAATACCGAACTACAGTTTTTTTCATACACTGGTTTACCCTCCAGCGTTTCTTTCTTTCACAAGGAATCTATCGTGTAGCATATTTTACACATTAAACAGATTTGGTACATTGTGCTATATTAATGCTAGAAAAATATAACATTACACATAATATACCACATCCAAGCATTGGTCTTTATGCCAAGAGTTACATCAGAGAATTGATACAGTTAATATGAAGCTAAAACCAGTAGCCGGTTAGCCTAGCTTAGCATAAAGACTAATGATGTAAAAGCTAGCCTTGCTCTATCCAAAGGTTACAAATCCACTTACCAGGACTTCTAAACTAATTAGGACATAGTTCAGTATAAACCGGTTGCCCACACTTCCATAAAAACACTTCCCCCTTCTTTTAAGGCTTAGTGCTAAACTAACTTGGTTTTTAGCGTATTGTGGTTTGAATGTTCTAATCTGACATTATGGGAAATATGCTTATTTGCTGTTGTGCCAAGTGTTAAACCTTCACTTAAAAGCCTCTATGTGTAGATGTTTTTGTTAAATGTGTTCAATGTTTCCTTTATGTAGGAGTGGACTGACAGGAAACTAAGATGGAATCCTGATGACTATCAGGGCCTTACAGCCATCCGAGTCCCTTCTAACAGGATCTGGCTTCCCGACGTTGTACTGTACGATAAGTATGGGCCATTATATAAGGAATAAATTACATCTGCGTCAGTCATTTAATTTTCTGTTAGCCACGGCCACACGGAAATGCTGACGGTGCTGTTACATAACTGGCTTAAATGATATTTCTTTCAACAGTTCAGATGGGCGTTTCGAGGGAACTGTCACTAAGGCAGTTGTTAAGTATGATGGAACCATAACGTGGACACCACCAGCCAATTACAAATCAGCCTGCACCATTGATGTTACCTTCTTCCCTTTTGACCTCCAGAACTGCTCAATGAAGTTTGGCTCTTGGACATATGATGGCTCCCAGGTGAGACTCTACTCCGCAGTAAATTAGTGTTAGTCATGACGAGCAATGTACATGAAATTTCACTCTGTATTTAACAGGTGGACATAACTCTTGAGGACTTCCACGTGGACAAGCGGGACTATTTTGACAACGGTGAATGGGAGATAGTGAAGGCCACAGGCAGCCGTGGTCTGAGGACAGACAGCAGCTGCACCTATCCCACCATCACCTACTATTTCATCATCCGCCGGTTGCCTCTTTTCTACACACTCTTCCTCATCATACCCTGCATTGGCCTGTCCTTCCTCACCATCCTCGTCTTCTATCTGCCCTCTAACGGTGGCGAGAAGATCTCTCTCTGCACCTCTGTCCTGGTGTCGCTCACAGTTTTCCTCCTGGTCATTGAGGAAATCATTCCTTCCTCTTCCAAGACTATCCCTCTCATCGGGGAGTACCTGGTCTTCACTATGATCTTCGTCACACTCTCCATCTGCATCACAGTCTTTGCCATCAACATCCACCATCGCTCCTCCTCTACACATCATGGCATGGCACCGTGGGTGAGGAGGATCTTCCTACATCGACTGCCTAAGCTGCTGTGCATGCGCAGCCATGTGGACCGATACTCTCCAGCTGATATAGCCAGAGCAGGAGGACTGGGTATGATGAAGAACTCAAAATCTGAACTTACACCTCTGCTCTACACCAGACATAACCTACAAGCAGCTTTGGATTCTATTCGCTACATAACCATGCATGTGGTTAAAGAAAATGAGGTCCGAGAGGTGAGTATGTTGGATTTTGTGTATTTGTACATCATATGTAATAAGGTAATTGGTTAAAGGGGACATATAATGCTAATTTTCAGGGTTCATCTTTGTATTTTGCATCTCTACTGTGACATGTTTCCAAGCTTTAATGTTCAAAAAGGTTTTTATTCTTCTCCTAGTGCCTGTGCTGCAGCACCTCTTTTCACCCTCTGCCTGAAACCAGAGCCCAGTCTGATTGGTTAACTGGCCGGCTCTGTTGTGATTACATAGTGATGTAACAATAGCAGCGTTCACACCGCGTACTTTGCAGTAATAAGTGCTGGCACTTTGTGCCCCGGCACTTATCACACCAGGGCACTAAGTACATATCGCGTTCACACCGGAGTACTTTTCCCTGAGGGAAGATTACGCAAATGAGCCGCTGACTTGACTTCATCTTCTTGTGCTTTGGGTTTACTGGCAGGCCGCAAACAACTTCACGGCGTATACTGCCGCCCGAAGTCCCCGGCCGGAAGTCCCCGGAGTTGGGGACTGGCTTCAGTAGAAGCTTCTGGGACTCCCAGCAGCTTCTACTGAAGCCTTCAGAGTAAATCGCCAAAACCCCGACACCTCCTCATCACTCCACCGCTCCCACGTTTTTTTTTGTGTTGCCATAAGTTATTCTCTCTCCGTTGGTGCGCGGGGCTAATGATAATGCCACAAATACAATGGCGGCTTCACAAAACTTTTCAGAGTTTTACGGGGCGTGGTTTGCAATTCGCCCAGCCAATCAGAACTGGAGCACTTTTTCCCCCCAGGATAGTACCACCTCTCTAGCAGGCACTAAAAATGGGGGTAAAAGTTCCCGGCACTAAGTACTCTTTTTGGTGTGAACCCAACATAATGGGTACTAACGGAACTAAAGGGGAAAAGTACTCCGGTGTGAACGCGGCTTATGTCCCCCTCTGGAGGGAACTTTGTGATTTTCGCCTTTGCAGATCATACATGAAGAAAAACCTATATCACACTACAGGAAAGGGGACACCCCAAAAAGCCTAGGCCTCTTTAATACTTTCACTGATTTGAAACAAACTGACATGTGCTTCTCTCGTACTCCAGGTGGTTCAAGACTGGAAATGTGTAGCCCAGGTCCTGGATCGAGTGTTTCTTTGGGCCTTCCTCGTGGTGTCGATCCTGGGCTCTGCGCTCCTCTTCATTCCTGTTATTTACAAATGGGCCAGCATAATCGTCCCTAACCATGCTGGAAGTACCCTCTAAGCCGCAGTTAAACGAACCGCAAATAGAGGCAAAGCACATCAACATGTCGTCATGGGTCATATTTGAGATTTTAAAGACTGAGATACTGTGATTACCGCACAGATATTGTCCTACTCTGCCAACTGCATTCAGGCTGACAGATCCGCCAGAGATAAAGCTGCAGATTTGAGGCCTGGTTTGCTGAGTGTATCATTCAAATACTTTTTTTTGTTTATAAGAGTTTTTATTCTGTATTTCCGAGTGTAAAGATACATTTAAATACTCAATTGATGTATAACATATAATGATAAAATCACCCATGTTTCATCCACACAGAAATACACTCATTTCCAGTTGCTGGCATCTTAGATAGAGGTCTGATAGCGATACTAGTTGGCAGACAACATGTCCTCACAGGATATTTTGGATAGCATCAGGCTAATGGCTGTTGGTCACGGAGGTGGCAGGGTGGTGTGGTAAATTTAAAATGTAGTTGTATTCACTTTAAACATCGTAAGAGTAATTTAATAACAGCTTCCAACCTAGATATTCAGATACACCATAGATAGAATAAGACCTTCATTCTCATTCTTCATTATTTGACTCTGTGTCTGCATATCTGCTATGTATTCTGTAAGGCAGAATTAAAATAAAACTTATGGATCTACTTTGCTTTTAAGTTATTCTAGTTCCAAAAGTGAAAGTGGAAAAGAGAAAGGAAGTGAGAAAATAATCCTATACAACGTACTTCTACTATAATACCTTTGTGTCTCACTGACATGTGTGCATTCAGAAGAGCAAAGCTACCATCTGCTACTCCAAAAGCCACACCTCTTCAGGGTGCACATGGTTTTTCTGAATTCCTTCTGCGTGACTGCGTGGGAAGAAGAGGCGGACGTTCGTGCCCAGACTTGAGTTTCTCTCAAAGCCTTTCTGCCTTCGGGACAAATCCTGCATTCGTCTTCGGGGAACACGATTCTTAGTAACACATCATTACAGAGGCAATGCATGTCCAGGAAGTTTTTTAGCAAACTGCAAGTAACTCAAATGATGTAATACATTGCAATGCAACAGAAAGCCTTAGGTTCATTAAACCAATATCAACATCTCTAAGCACAAAAATACATTTCTCAATTCCCAGTCTGCAAATCCTCCTTCCTCTCAATCCTTGCCTTGTGTCTTAGTCCCACCCAGAGGAGATCGTGAGTGGAGAAGGCAAGGAAGAGTCTTGAGGAGAAAGGAGTCAAGGAGGAGAAGAATTTAGAAATGAGAAAGGACTGATGAACACTCGGTGCTCCAGAAGCTCAGCCTGCACTGCCTCAGCATGGCCAGGTCTGCACATTACAGCAACACAAAAGCAACACAGGCACCATCAACAAAAACATGTTGGTGATTGTAGTGATGAAATCTGTGAATTTCTGTTGCTGCTCCATCAAATATAGAGACTGTAAACACAATGTTTTTGTTGTTTTCGAACAAACAAAGATGGACAAGACAGTTTATACTGGTCCTGAAGAAAGTGCATTTTTCTAAACTGCTCAACAAATCTTCATAGCTGTCTAGAAAACACCACTCTACCGTTAACTATAAAAGGTGCACTTATTTTGCATGGAATTCAAAATGGTAAAAAACATGTGATTCATCTAATGCAACTAAATCTACACAAAAGCTGGATTAGTCTGGGATCCTTACAGTAAAAACAGTGATACAAAGATACATGGTTATCATTATTATTGCCTTTTGAAGACATTTTTATCTGAACAAGACACAAGTATTTGGATCCCCTTTGCTCTTTCCTGAAAGATCAACAGCTCTACATGTTATTAGATGGTCTGAGCACCCTCTTGAAAAGAGCATGTTATTGACTATAAATAAGAAATACTGAAGGCTACTTCAGAACAGAATTCACTCGAGGAGGTACAAATAAGTAGCTTTAACACATTTCTAAGCAACAAAGAGGCCACATTGTTGTCCATCCCTGAAGAAAAGCCCAAAGAAAAGCTTATCCATAATCCACTTATATAAGCTTTCATGGAATTTCTAGTTTTGTATTGAGTGTTTCCTTTGGCGTTTCACACAAACATCTTAGCACCTGCCACCCGGAGTTACTTCATGTAAAACAGGTACGTTACAGGTCAATCTTGCATGTATTTTAATTATTTTAATGGGAAATGTTTGATGTAAAAGTACTTTATTGAAGTATATGTTTATAGCATTTAAGGTTAGATTTTGAGAGTGAATAATGATGTCTTTATCTGTTTCTCATGTACAGGTTAAATATGCCCCTTTACCGAAATGCAACATGTCTTCTCCTGTTATCCTTTGTGTGCTTGTCATGGAGAATGTGTCACGGAGGGAAGATTTTGATCGTTCCTTTGGAAGGCAGCCACTGGGTTAACATGGACATCATGATCGAAGCTCTCCACTCTCGAGGACACTCTGTCGATGTGGTGCGGACCAATAAAAGCTGGTACATCCAGGATGACTCATCGCACTTCAACACAATCACCGTTCCTGTCACTGAGGCCTTTAATAATGACTTCATCAACGAGATCCTGAAGAAGATCTTTGCCATAGAAAGAGAAGGGAGCTCAGTTTTGAGCTTTGCAAGTTTGCAGGCGGAGATGTTTGCTGCGATGTTTAACATGCACAGAATAATGTGCAAAATGGCTACTGGCATGTTTAAAGATAAGGACTTAATGAATAGTTTGAAGGAGAGTAAGTATGACTTGGTGCTTACTGACCCGGCGTGGGGTGCTGGTATATTGTTGGCTCACGCTCTTAAGCTGCCTCTGGTTTATAATGTGCGGTGGATAACTAGTGGAGAAGGACATAGGGCCATTGCACCGTCTCCCTTATCTTATGTCCCATTGACCGGCTCAGGACTGTCAGACAAAATGACCTTCATTCAAAGAGTCAAGAACTTCCTTTTCTCTCTCATTTGGCAAGCTCAGGATGCATTTTTTATCCGCCCTCAGTATCAAGCTGTTTGTGATAAGTTCTTCGACCCAGAAGTCCGATATAATGACTTATTACAGGGAGCAGACCTGTGGCTGATGAGAGTGGACTTTGTGTTTGAGTTCCCTCGTCCCACCATGCCTAATGTTGTCTATATTGGAGGGTTCCAGTGCAAAACCAGCAAAAAACCTCTCCCTGAGCACCTGGAGGAGTTTGTGCAGAGTTCTGGAGAGCATGGGGTCATCATCATGTCTCTGGGGACCTTTGTAAGTGAACTTCCTGCTGATATGACTGACAAAATTGCTGCAACTTTTGCGAAATTACCCCAGAAAGTCATCTGGAGACATAAAGGTGAGAGACCAGCCACTCTGGGCAACAACACTCTGCTAGTAGACTGGATGCCTCAGAATGACCTTTTAGGACATCCCAAGATAAAACTGTTTGTGGCTCACGGAGGAACCAATGGAGTCCAAGAGGCTATTTATCACAGTGTCCCAGTTGTTGGTATGCCCCTGTTTTTTGACCAATTTGACAACCTGCTGCGTCTAAAGGAGAGAGGCGCGGCTAAACTTCTTACCATTCAAACCGTGGACAAAGACAACAACTTGCAGGATGCCATCCAGGAAGTCCTGAATGAGCCCTCCTACAGGTTGAACATGCAGGGACTCTCCAGGCTGCACAGAGATCAGCCCTTTTTCTCGGTCGTCACACACCGTAAACGACGATTTTATAAGTTTCTAAATGAATAAATTGTACTATCACCCGAAATTTGACAAACAATACCCGGTGATAAAAAAGTTGGAAAATTAAAAATTTTTTTGTAACACTCCTGTGTTTTTTTTGAATCCCGTCAAAATCATAAATCGACCACTAATATAAACGTCCGGAACAAATACCTTCGTTTTAAAAGTTTTGTCTAAACGTTTTACGACAATTTCTATTGATTTAGTATTTGACGGACGGACGACGCGACGATTTTGCGACTTTATACCTAAAAACAGTGTTCACCAAAAAAAGTGGGCGTTAAGACAACACCTTCCCGCCAACTGGATAAAAAAAGAGTAACAATGGGGTGTCGAAAACATTTTTCGGAATTTGTGTTTGGGTTCGGAAATTTAAAGGTCGTAACTTTTTTTGATTTGGTGCTATAAGGACAATAATTTTGACAAACTTTCCCGAAATGTTTTTTAACGTTGGGTTTGGTATTAAGGGGACGACCGTTCCCCAATCCGACCAACGCTGTTGAAGTTAATACAAATTCAAACTCCCCATAAAAAAGTTGCCATTAATTTCTAAACATTTGTATCTAACCTACGATATTTAATAACTAAACAATGTTTTTTGTTCCTGTCCTTCAAGTCCACCCAAGAGGTTAAAAATGAACAAAAAGAAAATAAGTTTTCGAGAAGATGCCTGTAATGTTTTGATTGTTGGTGTTCCCCTCCCTCTTTTTTCGTTTTTTTAGCGACGTTTTGTATCGGTTCTTTTCTTTTCGTCATTTATTAGATGTCTTCACCATCCTTTATGGTCGCCGTCAGAACATCCCTTGAGACCAAGGAAGTCGCAACTCGACGGGTTGGAAACACAGAAGTGCTGTTTGAGATAAAGGTCTTTCCTCCCCGCCCACAGGTCGCCGCAG